AAAACTTCAATATATTAATAAAGATTTACAGATCGAACATTTCTCATTGCAAAAATTGTCATTTGGCTAAACAACGTAATTTATCTTTTGTTTCGAAAAATAAATTATCTGAACATCCCTTTGATTTAGTCCAAATCGACATTTGGGGTCCCTTTTCTACATCCACTATCGAGGGATACAAATATTTTCTTACAATTCTTGATAATTGCTTTCAAACTACTTGGGTGTATCTCCTTCGTCAGAAGTCTGATGTTCTTATTATTTTTCCTGACTTTTATACTCTCATCCTTACACAATATATAACTTTCATTAAATCTGTGATATTTGACAATGAGCATGAATTGAATTTTCATTTATTTTTTCGTGTCAAAAGAAATTTTTCTTATCATTCCTGTGTTGAAACTCTCCAATAAAACTCTGTTGTCTAACGCAAACATCAACACATTTTAAATGTGACACGTGCCTTACTGTTTCAATCCCATGTTCCCATTGTCTATTGGGGTGATTGCATCTTGACTGCTGTTTACCTAATCAACCGTACACCTTCCCCCTTGTTGTCTAATAAAACTCCATTTGAACTATTAACTCACAAAAAACCATCATATGATCATTTGCATACCTTTTGTTCTCTATGCTACTGCTCCACTCTCGACAGTCATCGCCATAAATTTTCACCTCGTTCTAGGGTTTGTGTCTTCCTCGGTTACCCTTCGGGTTACAAAGGATACAAATTTCTCGACATCGAGAGCAATGAAATCATCATCTCTCATAACATCATTTTTCATAAACATATCTTTCTGTTTCTTTCATCCCATTCACCTAGTCCTACTCACAGTGACCTTTTTCATGATCGTGTTTTACCTCTTCCTCTCCATACACCTACACAATCATCAGTTTCTCTTGATACACCGCATGAGTCTTCCTAAACACTATCATCTTGCCCTCTGCGTGTAATACGACCACCTTCTTATTTGTCTAATTATCATTGCTACCATACAGATACACATGCACTTTATCCCATTTCCTCTTTCCTTACTTATACAAAACTTACAGCTCAATATCAAAACTTTATTTGTACCATTTCCTCCCACACTGAGCCCACCAACTTTTCTGAGTCTATCCAGTCCGATGTTTGGATGAACGCTATGAATGTGGAGCTACGTGCCTTAAAGAACAATAACACTTGGTATATTGTTTCCCTCCCACCTGGAAAGAAAACTGTTGATTGTAAGTGGGTTTATAAAGTTAAATATCAAGCCGATGGGACCGTAGAAAGAAACAAAGCTCGTCTGGTTGCTAAGGGCTACACACAACAATTGGCATTGATTTCATTGACACTTTCTCTCCTATTGCAAAATTGATTACTGTCAAAATTTTGCTTTCACTGGCTACTATCCATGGTTGGAGTCTGACTTAGTTGGACGTCACTAATGTTTTCCTTCATGGTGACCTTCACGAAGAAGTTTATATGACTATTCCTCCAGGCTATTCTCCTCGAGAGGGGGAGACTCTTCCACATCAATCCGTTTGCCGACTACACAAGTCAATCTATGGGTTAAGATAGACTTTCCGACAGTGGTTTCATAAGTTATCGCAAGTATTACTTCAAGAAGGTTTCCATTAGTCACAATGTAACCACTCCTTATTTGTCAAGCAACAGGGTAATGTTTTTCTAGCATTATTGGTGTATGTTGATGATATTGTTATTGCTGGTAATGATGATCAGGCTGTCGAAGAACTCAAAGTTACACTCAAACAAAAATTTAAAATGAAAGATATGGGGACTCTCCGATATTTTCTTGGACTTGAAATTGTGCAAGAAATGACACAGGAATCACCTTATGCCAAAGAAAATATGCGTTGGATCTGTTAACTGAAACTGGATATCTTGGTTGTAAACCCTCATCTACTCCCATGGAACCAAATATTAAGATGTCTAAAGATGACGGAGAATTTCTGAGTGATATCACAAGTTATCGGCGATTGATTGGAAAATTGTTGTACTTAACCATCTCTCGCCTTGACATATGCTATTCTATCAATAGACTGAGTCAGTTTCTTACTACTCCTAGGACCAGTCACCTTCAAGCTACTTTGCGAATTCTCCAGTATATCAAAAGGACACCTGGACAAAGTCTCTTCTTCCCTTCATCATCTGCCATTCAGATTAAGGCTTTTTCTTATGCTGATTAGGGCATATGTCCTGACACTAGAAGATCTCTAACTGGTTATTGCGTTTTTATTGGGTTTTCATTAGTATCATGGAAATCAAAGAAACAACAAGTTGTATATCGGTCATTTGCAGAAGCCGAGTATCGTTCCATGGCCAACAATACTTGAGAAATAGTATGGATTATGAAATTGTCACGAGATTTAAAAGTGCAACATCAAGGTCTTGCATTACAACTGTGTGATAATTAGGCAGCTCCACACATTACTTCAAATCCAATA